TATTAAATAATTTGACAACCACATTAAATAAATATTATAAATGTATTTTTAAAGAGAAATCAGATATGCAACAAAGGTTTAATTGTTGAAAGACGACACAAAGCTCGATTGATTTAAAAGATAAAAAGAAATACCTTTTAGTTATACAGAATTAAATAATTATAGCCGTAATCGAGAATTTATCGTTAAAGTAGATTTAAACAAATTGGTTACAATGAAATTTCGCTTCTACCTAAGAAAAGAAATAATAATAATAATAATTATTATATGAAGGAAAAGGAAGAAAAAAAAAATAAAATTAATAGCAAACAAAACAAAATTAATAATAATACTAATACTAATAATAATAATAAAAATAATAATAATAATAATTAATAATAATAATAATAATAATAATAATAATAATAATAATAATAATAATAATAATAATAATAATAATAATAATAATAATAATAATAAAAATAATAATAATAATAATAATCCATCGATCAATATCGCTTTAATTACGAGAAAATCGTAGCTTTCTCTTTCTCTTTCCCTCCCTCCCTCCCTCTCTCTCTCTCTCTCTCTCTCTCTCTCTCTCTCTCTCTCTCTCTCTCTCTCTCTCTCCCTCTCTCTTTTACACACACAATTACGAACAAAAGAGAGAAGAGAAAGAAAGAAAGAAAGAAAGAAGGAGAACCAACCACCGATGCTAGATGATGAATTTTACAGAGAAATCGCCCGTTCTTCTATGATAATTTCCGTGAAAGAAGGAACGAAGAAGAGAAAGAGAGAGAAGGAGAGATAGGAGTAGAGAAAGAGAGAAAGAGAGAGAGAGAAAGAGAGCAAACGCATGTAGCTGCTTTACCGAGCACGTCTGCGGTGTACGTTCCATGCTCCATAACTGGAACCAGTCTTGATTGTAAGAAGAAAAAGGTATAGATAGGGTAGCTCTAACATAAGTTATACTTATTCCTAGGTTATTTCAATAAAAAGAGAAAAAAGATCTTAAAACTCGTCTCTCTCTCTCTTTCTCTCTCTTCTTTCCTCGGTGTGAAATTAACGAAATAACGAAACAAGAGTAAGTTTCTTATTTTATACACAAAATCAAAATTAATATGTAAAAGAGAGAGATAGTTCGATAGATATCTAGAAAAAGAAATATATATATATACATATATATATATATATATATATATATATATATATATATTATAGTTAGATAGATAGATAGATAGACAGAGACAGAGAGAGAGAAAGAGAGATAGGAAAGGAGGGAGAAAGAGAGAGAGAGAGAGATATTATATTATTGCACATTTTAATATAAAATTCAGATTCGTTATTTAATTTATACTAATAATCTAGAAAACGATATTAATAGGATTTCGAAAGTTTCTAATCATTTCTATGACCCATTAAATAGATAATAATAGATATATACATATAAACATATGTATATAAGTTATTGACGTGATCGTTGTACTCGTCATTGGCGTGTGTGTTGTATATATAATTATATTTCTACGGGCCATCGACCCGTCCTCGTCCTCGTCCTCGTCGTCGTCGTCGTCGTCGTCATCGTCGTCGTCGTCGTCGTCGTCGTCATCGTCGACATCGGACGACGACGACGACGAAACCAAGTTGTTTCTTGGACATAAGATCGATCGTAAGAGCGTTGCGTTTCATGTGCAATAGAAAGAAGCCAAACTACAATCTGACCGTACACTTCTACAATGCGAATTTATATATAATATATATATATACACATAATATATGTACAAATATATATTTTACATTCGCATATACGTATGTAAGTTTAATTGCAAGTTACGTGTTTTTTTTTCCTTCTATATTCCTATTTATATCCAATTGTATATTATGTTCAACTTAAAAATAAATCTTTTTTTTTTTTTCTTCTTTTTTTTTTAACGTTAAGAAAGAAAAAGAATTGATCTCTATTGATCATCCATGTAACAACCTATATTACATAAATAATCTCTTACGGTCTTTGTAATTATAAATGCATCAATCTCTATAATGGAAATTAATTTATATTAGTTAACTCGTATTATTAATTATTTTAGCTCAATTTATTAATCGTATATATAGCTTTTTTTCTTCTTCTTTTTTTTATTTTTGAATGAATTAAAAACGAATTAAAGAATTAAAATCGGTTTCGATCGAAGAGATTAAAAATATTTTTTTTTTTTTTTCATTATTTATAAAATTAAACGGATTAATTTGAAATATAAAAATTCAATTATTATCACTCATCTTTACCAATATATAATGATAATAAAAAAAAAAAGAAAATATCAAAAAAGGTATTCGATATGGGAGGAAATATATTACGTGAAATTATTCTTGCGAGTGGTAATGCGTGTTGAAGGACGATCTCGAGTTACGATGTCTATCCATCTAAGGAACAATAGAAAGTTCAATAACCGCTGTTAAATACTCCTTTTCTAAAAACAATAATATTTTGCCATTTGTCATTTTCTTTCGTCCTTTTTAATATCACTTTTGTATTTATCGTTTACAAAAGATTCAAATGAAACGGAATCGTAATATAAGAATCGCAATTTGTAAATAAGGAAATTAAAAGAAATAGAGAAAAGCTATTAGTAATTATATTATGACTAATAGTTTACTTTCATTTCACGTGAAGGACCTTTATGTCTGTATTTATAGCAATTTCTTAGAAATTCACTGTACGAAGAATATTATATCGCGAATATAAACGACGAAAACGATGAAAATGTAATTTTAAAATATGGAGTAATACGTTGTTATATATATATATATATATGTACACACACATACTCGTTTATAATTAATAATCATAAAATCAATTCTTCGATCGACTGATATAAATGGATTTTATGTAATATAAGAGTATATTTAAATCTAGATGAGTGTCAGGTCAACGAACGCAAATTTTCTTACTAATGCTATTATATTCGTATAAACACGAATAAACAATGTGAAATTAGTATTAAAGTCGAAGAATACCTACAATTCGATGCATCTGCGAACAGGTCGACCATCTTTGTTTCGTAACGTGCAATCTATCTTCTTTTGTTTTCTTATACATATGTACTTGGCGCGTTTTCCTACTGTTTTTCATTCGCCATGATACGTTTTACTAATCGCAGAATATATCAAAATATTCCTTGTTCTATCGACGATTATTTATAGATATTAATTATGAACGAAATCAATCAAATAAATATATAAAACGAACAAACGTGTTATGACGATTAGAATTTTAATAAAAATCATTCGAATAATTGAATAAAAGGAAAGCTTACTTTTTTCGAAGTTTGAACTCGAATGATGTTCACCTAAAGATGATAAATGACGTCGAGGATGACGATGATAATAACCAATAAAAATCACTCTTTTTGATATTTTTAATTCTCTTATTCTAATTTCACAAAGTCTACACACTCGATGCACGTTGCTCGATTTTTCAAAAATCTATTGATCGATGTTGCAAGGAAGAATAAAATAAGACATAAGAAAAGATATATATATATATATATATATATATATATATATATATATATATATAATAAAATAACACGTAAAAGATAGCGAGGAAAAGGAGACCGAGAGAAAAAGGAGCCGAGAACGACCTGCCTCCTTACGTAGCCGTTTGAAAACTCGTGCAACACGCTTCGTGCGAACGTCGCGATACTCTACCTTCCCCCTCCTTCCCAGCTCGCTACAGCTATTCCCGCGCGCGACCTTCCCCCCACCCCACTGCACTCCTGCGCGCGCATAACGCGATCGTGTATACAAGGAAACATCTCATCTAACTACCACCACCGTCGCTATCATAATTTACACCCTACTCCTGCCTTCATAACTAACGTATTTTAACGCACTTGTTTCCTTAAAAAAACAAAAAAAAAAAAAAAAAAAAAGAAAACAAAAAAAAAAAAAAAAAGAAAACAAAAAAAAGAAAAACGAAAAGATAAAATAAAAAGGTAGAAATAGTATATGATTTACGAACTTTCCATTTTCGCTCATAAAACGTTCCTTCTAAGTAATGTACACGTTTCTATACGACGATAACGATATCAATGTTTATTTTCGATTAAAACTTAATATATTATAGATCTTTTATTTTTTCAAGAATAATTTGATATTATATACGTACGTTTGGATTTTTCGAAATTCAAATATTCGTTAAATATATATATATATATATATATCGACATTATTTTCTTTAATTATATATTTTAAATGTTCATCGAATTATTACTTTTTCTCTCTTCAATTATTATTAATTTGAAATTTCAATATATTATTTAATCGTAAATTCGATCGTTTTACTTTATAATATTTGAAAATAATCGTTCCTAAAGAGGTTAAGAACGCCCGGCTATATAAAAAACGAAAACTGAAGTGCATTTTCTGAGAAGTTGGAGTAACAAAAACTAGAAGTACAGAATAAGAAAACGTCGAAGGGACCGGTTGAAAACTTGTCATGTACGGAGCTCAAAATAAGTGGCCCATTTACGAACTCCATGTACATGAATATATACGTACTTACATAGAACGACGGGTTTCTTTCGAATTTCAAATGCGTTCCATGATACAAAGTTACGAAAGAGTATATATATATACATACATATATATGTGTATATATATATATACATAACATATATATGTATATATATATATGCATGTTACACAGGGCCGTTTTGAAATGCTAGCCGGCCCTATCAATACGCACTGAGAGTGGATTCATAACCTAACCTACCTACCAAATCTCGACCCTATTCACACACATTCAAATTGCACCGCCAGATGATAGGTTTCATGAAATTTATTCAAACTTGACGAATAAAATAAAGAATTTTCAATATAAATGAAATGTAACACCTTCACAAAATAATATGTAAATAAATCAATTATTTCGCACTCATTATTCTCATTAAAAATGAATATCTCCAGAAGTTACTCGCTTTATAAATTTTATTTGTTCAATTGTTTTGTGCTTTTCTAGCTTTTTTTTTTTAAACAAATTTTCTGTGTTACATCTTGTAAATTATATTTATGTGAATTTGTAAAATAAATAAATAAAAATGCCAATAACGTGTCAAGGCAATGACAATTGGTAAGTCTATGATAGGAATTTAACAATATTTTTTTTTTATTTTCATTACAATGTTTCTTTTTTTTATTATTTTAGTTCAGTATGCATGCCATGTACTCCTTATTCTCCATGTTCACCATGTACTATTTGGAGACAATATTCCCCATGGATTCAATGTCCACCAAAATTTGGTTCACCTTGTAAAGTCAAACCTAAAATTACTACCTCTGTAAGATTTGGTGGATTGAGATATGAAGCACGTAATGTTTTACCAACTCCACCTGTTCTGTGCAGTCCACCACCATTTTATCCTATTCTTGCTGGTTAGTTATCTTCTATCTTTAAATTATATACTATTCTATATAATTATCTGTTATTTCTTAATTCTTAGGCACTTATCCTTTCTGTAATTGGTAAAGTCCAAATCATCTGTTTTAATAATACCACCGATACCTTGACACATTTTGCTATTTTATTAGTATTATTGAAATAGGTATCTTGTTAAAAAGAAAATAAGCATTGTGTGAAACTGCAGGATAGATATCATTAAACTATTAACTAAACTTGTATTATTTTTGTTGTCTTTTTACGTATCTATTATAATGATTCTACAAAGGTAAATGGTTTATACTTTTACAAGAAAAATTCACGCCCAAACATTTTAATTTATTATTTTACACATTCACATTAAGAAAAACTTGATTAGAGTACGTCAGTGTCTCTTGTACCGTTTATGTCAGTATAACTACAACTTAGGAGTTTACAGTGCTAAAATGTATGGCATTCCAAACACTTGCACCTTCTTCTATGATAGCTCATAGTTCTAACGACACACGCGATAAAATGTTCCGTATTTCATAAATTAATGTGCTAAGGATGCTTGTATCTCACAGCTATCCTTTTTCAAAATATACAAAAAAGAAAAAAAAATCTTTCTCATGTTGCATTCTTTCCTTTGTCTTGCCAAGTCTTTAACTTTAGCATAGATGTAGAAAAGACACATCACGATATCTGTATTCCACTAACAATCATGACAACATCCAAAGTTCTCGAGTGTGTATCACCACTGACCAGATTATTTAGATGGATATGTTGCCTTTTTATTTCAGCCACAAGTAAAAATTTCTTACATCTTGCTAAAGCCTTTGGTAGGGTTTCCTGTCCGTGAAGAGGTTCTTGAGGAAATACACTTGTCCTATAGGGATAGATAGAATAGCTACGGTTTCCATCATGGACCACCATAAAACCCGTTCATTCAAATCTTCAGCTCGTTTACGACCTTGAGCTTCTCTTAATCGATGATGCGTTTGGTAATCAAGAATATTATTTAGATTTTCATGGATTACTTGTGCCGATGACTCCATCTAAAGAGTAACAATAAAATAGAGATATATTTATTATGTTATATCTATCTCAATAATTTAAACGACATTCTTATACTTACTTGAGTCATAACAGTGACATGTTCTCCTAAACCGGGAAGTGGTAATTCATTTCCAACTTGGAAATCCATATATACAAGCTTATGGGAGAATGTAGAAAACTCATTACTAAAACATACTTTATATACTCCTGACATAGTTGGTATGAATGGATGAGAGTCAAATTGTGTTTTCACTTGTTTATAAATGATTTCTTTATTCGGTGCCTCTAATGTAACATCTACGTCGTATTGACCTCCAGTTACTACCTAATTTAATAGAAAATAAAATGATATTATTAGTAAATATGGGTACTTTATTAAATAAATGTACTAATGCGTCTTATAGAATGTTATTAAATGTTGATTTATCTTACGTAATTTTCAAATATACATACGTATGAAAATTATAACGGAATAAGTTCAATTAAAAGGACAGATATGTACAAACCTGAAATTCAAGTGTTGAGGAAACATTTTTTTCAATTTCTTGATAAAAACATTCTTTTGCATTATCAGACAATTCGAAGCTTAACTCGACGCCACCCGTAAGTAAAATAGTATGAAAAAGCATTGAAACAATAAGCATCCATGTCGACCAGTAATCCATTCTTCGCTTCATTTAATTTATCTAATTATTATTAAACACACATTTACACACACCTTCTACGAACTACAATTCTTTTAATAAATCGTATTTGCGACGGAATAGTCGACTCCCTAACAAAATTTACTTCAAATAATCTATTTTAACGTGGCCGGATATTAGTCGACGCTATGAATTGCGACATCTCGAATTCGGAAGTGGCTGTAGACACGTCCATTTTCTCTGACGTCATTTTGACACAGTCATTTTATTAAAGAGAGATAGAATGAGAGAGGTTTTTATTTAAAAAATTTAAGAAAATAATTGAAATATTACAAAAGTAAAATAAGTAAAAGTATAAATTAGTCAAAATATTTGAAAAAACAACACAATTCATTTTACTTGTTTCTTTACCATAGAACGAGAGAATGGATTAAAACAAAATAATCTTGATATGAATGGATAATTTAACCTATTTGAAATACCATCGTAAAGTTTAATTTTTATTCATTGTATTTCTTATTCCAATTTTCTTCAAATTTTAAATGTTACTATTTCCTTGATAAGGATATAAATAAAACAAATATGGCGCGCAATTGGCGGTAGATTTAAAATGGTTCCGATCGATTGAAAATCTTATATTATATATATATATAATATGTATTATTATTATATATATTATTATATATATATTATATTATTATATTATTATATTATTATATATATTATATATATTAATAATAATTTTCAACAATGGATATAAATTAATAATTCAGAAAATGTAAATATAATTGTATATTCTAACGAATATTGTAAGATGAAAAAATTTTTTATTTAAATCGAAAAATGAGAATGACTTTTTTTTTAATTGAAGAAATTGTAAGGAAATGCGAGTCAAAGCTATTGCTATTACATTGAAAGGTTTGCGTGAGGCGCCTAAGGGGTTGTTTCGTCGTTCTTTACTGCTTGTGGAAGGGTGTATAGAAAGGGTGCAAAGGGTCCTTTCAGTTAGGGAGGCGGATCAGTCAATCCAGATAAGCTAGATAAGATTAAATATAAAAAAAAAATCATAATGTTGTCGAAATTCAACAAATACATTTCCCCTTATTTGAAATTGAATATTTCAGTATTTTTATTACAAGAATATTCATTTTATTAATAATTAGAATTTTATAATGACGTATAAGATATTATTTTGAAAGTATGTTACAAATACGAAACGACATTTTAAGTGTGCAGGATCCAGCTTAATTAATTACTTTTATAAATTATCTAATCTGACGACTCGTCAGACCCTTGTTCTCTAAATTATCTAGATCCAATCGGTTTTTAAATTTTTATGCAAGATGAGAATCAGTGATGAAGTGCTTTTAAGAAAAATTTCTTAAGTTTAGTTCTTTTTATATTCGTCGAAGGAGATATTAAAATGGAACAAAAAATTATGTAGCACACACACACACACACACACACACATTGAATAAAGAAAAATTTATATATATGAAAATTTTTATACTTATATAAAATATATATAAATTTATATACAATATTTTGATTCATAATATTGATTTCTCGTATCACACGATACGGAACAAAAGAAAATCGTGTTCCATGTGAATTAGATAAAAGCTAGAAGTTAGTTTCCGTTCTTGAAACTTTTACTTTATGTTATTAGTTCAAAGCAGTTTAAAGATTATTATATATAAAAATATTTTTCTATATCTTCCAAAGTATTGTAAATATTTTTAATAAATGTATCAATGAATGAATTGAACTCGTTGATACATTAATTTGTTTATGTAACATATCATTTTCAATATTATACTATTTTATTATTATATTTTCAAAAAGACAAAATGGGTGTAAGTGAAATAAGTATGTGGATATTGATACGTAGGTACGATCAAATTGGTAAGTTTACGGTTATATATGTATTATTTTATATATATATATGTATATATGTTTATAAATATATATGTAAAAGAAAACTATACAAATATATGATCTCTAAACAAAAAAGGTTAAGAGATAATAAAATTAATATTTCTTAAATATAATTAAATTATATCATTTTTTAAATATATATTATTTATTTTTATATTAATTAATATATATTATTACTTTTGTTTTTAGAATCAGAAAATGACACATTACAAACAACTTTAAATTGTTTTACTGTTGTACCTGGAGTAACGTTAGATGAATTAAGAATATCTATTTATTATTGGGCCGGTATAGAAAAAGATAATAATAAAGTATTAAAAATTAGAAGATACGATAATAATTTGATACCATTGTCTTCTTTGCTCAGAGGATCCCATAAAGACAAGTATAATAAATTGATGGTTTATCAAAAATTAGATTAATAATAGCATAAAATAAATCAGAAATGTACAATATGTTCATTTTCTGAGAGAAAATTAATGGTTTACAGGCCTTTTATCATTGATGTTGTTGGAGTACATCAATTTTGTAAGTAATAGTATTATTATTTGTAGTTAACGAATAAAAAATACATATAATTATATTAATTTATTTCCTTTTTCATTTCTAAATATAGGTCCTATAGAAGAACGGAGCCTACCACCTGGTTATTTAGACGCTTTCAAATCTAAACTTGCCAATTTAGAAAAGCGGGTAATAATTAATACATTTACGCTTAGTCGCTTATGATTATGCAAACTTTTTTTTAAGTGTTTTCTAATTATACTTGCACCTGTGATAAACAGTAGTAAATGCTTGCAGGTGATGATGGTAGAATCATTTTTACCTAATATGACTTCTTCTCATACGCGTGCGGTAGAAACTATGGTAACTCAGTTAACAAATTGTGTTAACTTCTTAGATCATAGACTGGATGAATTAGCACCACAATCTTGGAAAAGTCAAATTCAATCGGCAGCCTCTTGAAAATGGGACACCAATAATATGTGACTGAGAATGCATGTTAACCTATTTATCGGAGATATAGAATTTTAACAAGAAGAATACGAATAACTACATTAAGAAATGGCAATGATATTGGATATCAAATTCTAAATCAAAGCGATCTTGTACTTTACATCTACGTGTACATATGGTAAAAAACATAAGAAAACAAATAAAATAATTTTGAGTGTCATCCTATCTCTTGTACGTTCGATAATTATGTATAATATATTTATCATTTATGTAAATTATATTTTAATTAAATGAAATGGAGTCAATTAGCTTGACGGTACTTATATTATGTTATAAAAAAAGCTTTATTCTCATTGAAGAAAATCATATCAGAAATGGTGTTACTTAGAGAACAGAATTTAAGTATATAAAAATAAAGCTTTTTAAAATATTCGAAAACATTTTAATTCTTTTAATTATTATATATATATATATATATTAATTTTAACAATGTAAAGTATATATGTAGAAATAGAATATGATTAATATATAAATTAATAATCATACAAACGTTTTAATATTAAAATTTTATTTAATATTCAACAAGAGTTAAATTTTCATCTGAAGATTACTGGTCTTGTGTAATATAATTTTGAGGATAATTGGCTCAGTTATCTTTTAAAACTAATATTTAAAGAATAGTGAACTTTTGTCTCAGTAACATGTAAAACTCTTGTATGGGATCCTTGGGAAAGGTTTTTCGATTTTAGATTTTGGGTGGATCTTCTTTCAGTAAGCAAAAATAAAGCTTGATTTTGATACTCCGATAGTACTTACGATATATTAAAATCTAAATCTAAATTATACGCAAGTTATATGTTATATCACACGTATTATCGAACGAATAGCTGCATATCTTTATACGTTTCCAAAATGTTTTCTTTCCATATCTAATTAAATATTAAAGTATTCACATTTTATGTTGTAACGTATCGTACAAAAATATAATTAATTATTTTATAAATTCAATAATTATTACTCGATTATTTTATTACATAGTAGTTACTTATAAACATTTATTAATTCAATTCGATTTAGCTAATACAAGAAAAAGTTTGCATCTAACTTTCTGATATTAATATAGAAAAATGTTAAAGTATAATCCCATTTAGTGTTTATTATAGTTTTATAGAAAAAAAAAAAATTTTTTTTATTGATATTATCTTTTATTAGTTATATTTTATGTTACGTATTCCATTCGCAATGTCGAATAAATGACTGCTTAAATATGCTTTAGCTATTTGTATAAGTAATTGATAAGAAAAAAAAAAAAAATATATTATAAGTTCGTGTAATTAATAAACACTTTTCAATTAATCTGTCTTGAGAGAAGTATAATCTGATAAATTTTTCTTGCTTTCTGTCAGACCTTTACGATATACAAAAGTAGTTTTCTCACATTGTAAATCGATTGTTCGATTATTCACGAAGAGGGTTATAATCTAACGAGTTTATACATCGATGCAATAAGTGCATAGTGATGGATGCAATGGTTTTTCTATTGTATTTGTAGTTCTTATTTTGTCCATACGAGTCGTTGAAGTCACAAATCCTATGAGCGAAAAATTGTGTACATTTTTAAGATATGAAACATCTGACGGTGACGAAAACGGCGCGAAGTAAGTTAATTCTGATTGGTTGATTTTAATGCAGTCAAACGAATGGTATTAGCCAATCATATTTTATCATAGAATTTATATATAAAAAGAAATAAATATATCGAATTCATCAAAATAATAAAAATAATTTTAATAATAATTAATATGTATTAATTATTCACATGAAAAAAAGAAATGGTATATAAACGATTAACGTAATATTTTATTATTATTAATATTCGCGTTACAGACATGATATAATTTAGAATAGCAGATAACCTTTTTAATATACTAATCCTGTGTAAATCATTTTTTCATAGATATTAAAAAATATATAACAAAAATTAATTTTATGTTTTATGTGTATTATTCAAATCAAAGACATAGGATAATAATCATTCAATTGTGTATACTAACTTTCTAATACGGTTACGTACTTTTTATTTTATGTGATTCACTTGCGTTATTAAGAAGATGCGTGGCGGTACACTTCGAATTGTTAATTTTTTGTTTTTACAAAAACGTTTTTGTTCTCAACAAGTGAGAGTGAGATTTGCTCCGAGTCCTACTGGTATATACAGTTTTTATTCTTAATTATGTTACATATTGATAATTTAGATAATATGGGATAATATAATTATTTTTATTAGGTTAGATTTTTGTTTTTTTGTTTTTTACATGCGGATTCTCT